ATAATAAAGCCTGGAGACGGTGTGGAGTAAAAGGAATACTTTTTTTTTTTAGGAACACTTTTACACTATTGATGGGGAAGTAAATTGGTGCAGGCACTATGGAAAACAATATGGAGATTGCTTACGAAACTAAAAATAGAGCTACCATATGATCCAGCCATCCCATTCCCGGGCATATATCTGGAAAAAACAAAAACTCTCTTGTGAAAGGATACATGCACCGCCATATAAATAGCAGCACTATATACAGTAGCCAAGACATGGAAACAACCCAATTGCTGATCAACAGATGACTAGTTTAAGAAGATGTATATTAGTTCAGTTCAGTTCAGTCAGTCAGTCGTCCGACTCTTTGCGACCCTGTGGACTGCAGCATGCCAGGCCTCCCTGTCCATCACCAATTCCCAGAGTTTACTCAAACTCATGTTCATTGAGTTGGTGATGCCATCCAACAATCTCATCCTCTGTCATCCCCTTCTCCCATCTTCAATCCTTCCCAGCATCAGGATCTTTTCAAATGAGTCAGTTCTTCACATCAGGTGGCCAAAGTATTGGAGTCTCAGCTTCAGCATCAGTCCTTCCAATGAATGTCAGGACTGATTTCCTTTAGGATGGACTGGTTGGATCTCCTAGCTGTCCAAAGGACCCTCAAGAGTCTTCTCCAACACCACAGTTCAAAAGCATCAATTCTTCAGCATTCAGCTTTCTTTATAGTCCAACTCTCACATCCATACATAACTACTGGAAAAACCATAGCTTTGACTAGATGGACCTTTGTTGGCAAAGTAATGGCTCTGCTTTTTAATATGCAGTCTAAGTTGGTCATAACTTTTCTTCCAAGGAGCAAGCGTTTTCTAATTTCATAGCATATATATATATATATATATATATATATATATATATATAGTGCCTGTGGTCGCACAGATGGTAAATGGTGGAACTAGGCTCAAATCTGGACAAGCTAGTATTAGAGCTCATGTATGGGAAGATTTTTCATTCCTCTGGGATCAGCAGCTTCATAAAGCAACTTATCCATTTAGCATAATAAATTCACACAGTCCCCGGGCTCCTAAGATACAGCCTTCCCTTGTTTCAGATAATGGTGCCCACTAACACCAGTAGTTGATTACAGTGACTGGAATGAGGAGAAGGAAATTAGAAGTGACCGCTTGAAGGAACAATAAGGAAGGATTAATTTGGAAAAGGTTCAGAGAAGGAAGCCACCATGTATGCATCATGTGCCAATCATGTGCGACTCTGCAAGGTGGAGGCAATACTCTCTCATCAGGTGTTGTGAGCTGGTATCTCTGTGGGTATGACGTCTGTAGCCCCACCCTGAGGGGATTTTAGGAGAAAAGATGGGATGGTTGCTGCCAGTGTTGGAGAGGAACTGGATGAGGTGGGTGGTTTACTGCCTGGGAGTGTCCCACTGGGAGGGAAAAAGACAGATGTTGGCAAGGATAAGCAAGGACTAGAAACAGGTCAGACAATTTCCTGGGAAGGTGGTCAAGACCTCTGGGCCAAATTTTGTGGGGGTTCCTATTTTGAAATGGCAACCCACTCCAATATTCTTGCCTGGAAAATTCCATGGACAAAGCAGCCTAGCAGGCTACAGTCCATAGGGTCGAAAGAATCAGATGATTGAGTGACTAACCCTTTTACACACTATTTTGAGAGGGTCAAAGTTAAACCTGTGTCTCACAGGATTCTTCCTTCTCTGAACTCCAGGGTTCCCTGGCCTTTTCCAAGAGCTTCACTTTTTCTGCCTACCTTTGCCGAGAACTTTCCATGTGCCAGGACTGTGTTGGTTTTCCTGGGCCTTCAGAAATGACATCTGCTCTCTGGGAGCTCTCAAGTTTTTAGGAGGCAGGATGTCAAAAGCTCATTAACAAGGAGGCTCTGGGGTTGGACTGCCTGCCTTGGGCTCCAGGCTATACGACTTGCTGCTGCATCACTGTAACAGGTTACCCAACTTTCCTATGTTCCAGACTGCTCACCTGTGAAATGATATTTACCTCACAAAGCAGCAGAGCAAAATCACTTAGCAAACTGCCTAGCTCAGGATAAGCACTCAATACATGTTTCTGTTATAAGCATGAAGTGGAAGGGACAGAACTGAGGTAAGAGGTCTGGGAGCACAGAGGAGGGGGTGGCTAACTGCCTGGAGCAAGAGCTGGTCACTGATGAACTCTTCAAAGGAGTTATTAAAGCCTGGGGCTTTTAGGAGGAAGTCATGGAGAGTTGAGGAGAGTGGGCATCATGAAGATATTGCCAGGTGATTCTGATATGCTATATCAGAGAACCATTAACTACTTAGCCAACAGAGAACCATTAACTACTCTTTAAAACTAACTTTATATTGTTAAAAGTTACATTTCATAAGCCTTGCAAAATAGAGGAAAAAATCACCTATACTCTTAATACTCCAATCCATCCAACATTAGTATATGGTGTCCCCATCTTTTTCCTCATGAATCTTGTTTTTGTTGTTTTAATCGTTTTAATTATAGTGCATGTAATAGTTCCTATTTTTGCCTTACTATGCAATCATAAGAATTTTTACTACATTGTTTTCCTATTTTAAACTTCTTTTTCTAAACATAAGTAATTTATGTTCTCTTGAGATAAATTCCCAATCTGAATTGGTATAAAAAAGGAAGTGCAAATTTCAGTAGTCCTACTACTAAGAGATGACCACAGCATTTTTATGTTCTTCTAGATTTTTTTCTATGGAAATGAACACATTTAGACTTTTTAAGTTAAGAAAGTTATTTTAGGTTATTTAATAACCTGCTTTTCACTTAATTACATAAGTGTAGTCATACATAATTGTTCCCAATGACTGCATAGATTCAATTTCATGTCTATATCAAATTTATGTAACTAATCCTCTATTGCAGGATTTTAAGTCATTTTTTTTCTGTGTGTGCATTTCTCCACCTGTGGATTGACCATAATTTACTTGAACATTTAGCTATTTTTGGATATTTAAGTAGCTTTACTTCTTTTGCTTTTGTATAAGGAACGATGCATTGAAAAACCTTGAGGAATATGGCTTTCCCCCATATTTTTAATAATTTCCTGGAGTTGAAGTAATGGGTCAAAAGGCAGGCTATTTTATGATTTTGGATTTGTATCATGAAGCTGCTTTCAAAGGGTTGTTGGTATTAATTTAGATACTTTCAGCAATGTATTAGTATCAGATTTTCACCTTCCACCGCACTACCAAAGGAGATAGATGGAGAGGGGATATTTTCCCTAAGCAGCAAATAAGGTGCTCATATGGACCAAAGAGGACAGGATAGAGAGGAGAAGCAAAGAGGGGAGGATGCACATGGGGAATGGAGGGAAGGAGAAAGGAAAAACCAGAGACAGCCATTCGTCTGTATTTTTTTCCCCCATTTGGAAACGTAATTCATGTTCCTTGAAGAAAATCCAAACTTTTCCATATTTACATTTAATATGAAAATCCTCCTTTGGTGACAGTCTCCGCTTACAGTTTAAATATATTATTCCATATTATTTCTTTTACTAATATTAATGTATAACTTATTTTGTTTTTAAAGATCTAGCTTCATACTATACACACCACAGTGCATTCCTACCAGAGATTTTATCTTTCGGCACCTTCTGTGTGCAGATCATTTTTAGTTTAACCATCTAATTGCTTTGCCCCCTTTCCCTGCCAGAGGAGTCACCCTGCCCCTCATCAGTAGTTCCCCGACCTCAGCAGCAGTCCTTTGGAGCCAGTTCTGCCACGTGCTGGCCTTCTGCTGCCTCTGTTTCCCTTTGACCCTGGCCGCTGCTTAGGGGGTCAACCCCAGGCGGCCTGCAGACATTTCCTGGGTCAATAGCCAGTAGCCAAGGGTGAAGGCTGGTAGCTGCTTACGGTCCTCTGGGGACCTCACCTGGGCCCTCCTTGCCTTCCACTTTCAGAACCTCCGTGCCTAAGATTAACCCAACCATTGTTGCCAAAATATCCTGTCCGAACAAAACTAAACCCATCGCCTTGGGGTAGGATTGGCCTGGCTTTGCTGGCTTTATGGCTTCTCTCCGCAAGTCTGGCCACCACCACCAGAAAGCCGTTCCAAGCGCTCTGACCGGCTTTTCCCAGACTTAATTTTGGGCTTGGAGCGCCTCACACCTGGCCTGGGGCGTAGCCCCCATGTGATGCCTGCAAGCCCTGGCCGCCTGGTCTGACTCAGTCTTGCAGCTTCTGCAGAACCCCTTGTTAGCCCCGTGACTCAGTTTCTTCATTGAGCATTGCCTCACGCGTGCCAATAGCATGAGGCACTTATGCGGAATGGGGAGGTGCCTCCGATAGCTTCTCCAGAGTACGTGCTCCCAGGAGAAGCCCCAGGGATGCGCGTTTACACCGCCCAGAGCTCTCGTTCTGGACGTGTCCTGCACTGATCCTGGTAATGAGTCCGTGCTGCCTGGGGTGGCAGTGACTCGGCCAGGTGCACTGGCAGGAGTGCTTGAGAGGCATCCTCCCGGGACCCGCCCACCACGGTTCTTGAAGGTGCCAAGGCATAAAGGGGCTGACGGGGAGACGACCAGTGCCCGCGTCCGTGCCCACTGACGGCCGCCTGACGCAATCTGAAGTGCCCTTGCTGCATGCCTGAGCTGGGAAAACGTCCTCCGCCGTTGCATCACCCCTGCCAGGTTTGCTACAGAGGTGGAGTCGAACCAATCAGCGGGCGCGCTGGGCCCGGGGCAGGCCACGTAGTTACCCACTCAGAGGGCGGCGCGGTTAACTGGACAGGAAGCTCCGAACGTGATTGGTCAAAAGGGAATTTGCCCCGCCCCAATAAACGCGAAAGCTGGCTGCGAGAGGTGGGGCTTCCCGGCCGGAGGGTTTAAAGAGCGCCTCGGACGGGGCCGCGCAGCTGGAGCGACCAAGCGGTGCCAGGCCAGGTGTGCGCGTCGGTCGGTCCTTCCGTGCCCGCGCCGGAGACCAGCCCCGGAGGCCGCCCGGGCCCGTCCCTGTGCCCGGCACCATGAAGCAGGAGCCTGCAGCCCAGAACTCCCCTCGCGCCTCTCCGCCCTCCTCACAACCCCTCTCCGAGGACGACGACCCCCAAGCGTTGTGGATTTTTGGGTACGGCTCCCTGGTGTGGAGGCCCGACTTCGCCTACAGCGACAGCCGTGTGGGCTTCGTGCGCGGCTACAGCCGCCGCTTCTGGCAGGGAGACACCTTCCATCGCGGCAGTGACAAGATGGTGAGCATCCGACCCTGTCCGGGTGAAATGACGGGGATTGGGGCAGGATAGTGGGCGCTGCGCTGGTGCTCTGGAGTATCCGGGCCTATCTGGGCTGACAGTGACTCTGCCCTGATGGGGGAAATGGGAGAACCTTGCAGGACGTTGTGGCTTAAATTTGTGTGCCTAGTGGGTCACTGTGTGATGGCTAGAGTCTGATCCTGTGGATCATCTTGTTGATGAATATTTCTGATGACCAATCTGGTTCACTGCCATATGTCTACTTCTCTTACATCCATGCATCGCTCCTTCCACTCCCGCCCCCCGCCCCCCCCAACCCCCCCCCCCCGCCCCGCCGCCGCCCCAGCTCCCCAGGAGTGGGGCTATCTGAGGCCTGGGATAGAAGGGTTACTAAGGGTTTTCTCTACCAGTGATGGCTGAACTCATTTCTAACTTGTTTTCTTTTTCAAAATCTCTCTTCCCTCCCTAGCCTGGTCGTGTGGTGACCCTCCTTGAAGATCGTGAGGTAAGAGCCAGAGTCCAGAAAGAGACCCAGCATGGAGGGGTGCACGCGGCAGAGCTCATGGACCCTTGGCCGCAGGCTAGATTAGATAGATACCCCTCTGGCTGAGGGGAAGGTTGAGTCTGGATAAGTGCTTCCCACAAGAATCACCTGAGGATCTTGTTAAAACATAGATTTTAATATAAGATTTAGAGTGGCCTGAAACGCTTTCCTAACAAGCTTACAGGTGATGCCATTGTTTCTCAGACCAAACTCTGAGCCACATTTTTGTTCTCCCTGGGGCTAGTCCGCCTTCCCAACCCTGATTAAGGGAGGTTGAGGGTTTGCTGTATTGCTGCTAGAGGGCTCATCCGCAGTCTGCCCACTTCCCTTATGGAGCACAGTCCTGGGTGGGATCAGAAGGAGCTTCGTGACTGATTCCGGTGCCCACATTTTCTCCCAGGGCTGCACTTGGGGTGTGGCATACCAGGTGCAAGGCGAGCAGGTGAGCGAGGCCCTGAAGTACCTAAACGTGCGGGAGGCGGTGCTCGGCGGCTACGATACCAAGGAGGTCACCTTCTACCCTCAAGATACCCCTGACCAACCACTCAAGGCATTGGCCTATGTGGCCACCCCGCAGAACCCTGGCTACCTGGGTCCTGCCCCCGAGGAGGCCATCGCTACACAGATCTTGGCCTGCCGAGGCTTCTCCGGGCACAACCTTGAATACTTGCTGCGCCTGGCGGACTTCATGCAGCTCTGTGGGCCCCAGGCTCAGGACGAGCACCTGGCCGCCATCGTGGACGCTGTAGGCACCATGCTGCCCTGCTTCTGTCCCACTGAGCAGGCGTTGGCACTGGTCTGAGGGGCTGAGCCCCTGCACGGGGTGCCTACATGGACACAGGGGCCAGGTCCCCACTCCAGTGCACACAGACAGACTTAATACGGCTGGAGCTCACTGAGAGGACTCGGTGGGCCGACAGGGGCTTCTCTTAATTAAGCCCCTGCCTATCTGCCAGCCCCCAGATCTCCTGCCTGACACCAACTTACTACTTGAAACTTTATTTATTGCACCATGTTGGTGTGGTGGGCAGGATGGGGGGCCTGCCCTAGGTACAGGGGAGCTGCTGAGCAGTGCCCCACCCCAGGTGCCTGGTGCCTGGCTGGAATCCCCCCAGTGCTGCTACTGTCCCCATACTACCCAGGCCTCCATCTTCCCAGGGAGCCTCCAGGAGCCTTGACCATCTGCCCACCCCCTCCAGACCAGCCATTCCCCAGCCCCAGAAACACCACCTGCCAAGGGTCCCAGCCTGCTGGTGAAGGTATAGAAAGGAGTGAGGAGAGGGAGCCCTATAGGATCTGAAGCCCTGCAGCCTGTTCATCCTCTAGGTCCCCAGGGCAGGCTGGCTCTGGAGCCCAGACACAGCTGCTGAGGCTGAGCCAAGACCTCTTCCCCATTTGGCTTTGTTTCCCTGTTCCTCTGTCTGTCTGTCTGGGCTACTTCTGTCTGTTGGTCTGTTCCTGGGAAGCTTATCACTGTAGGTAGGCTGTGGCCCCCTCCCAGTCTGTCCCATACTGTAATCCATAAACTGACCTCATTATCTGTGCTGTGCTGGAATATGATTCTTTCTTCAGGTGGGGGTTTGGGATGAGTGAGGGGGTGCGGCCCCAAAAGACCCATTAGAGGGAGAAGGCCTCCCTCTTCAGCCCCCATGTTTCTCCCAGAGAGGGACTGCTGAGCAGGCAGGACTGTGGGGTTCTTAGTGCACATGAAGAATGCCCCCCAAGGCATGCAGATTCTGCCTGGGCCACCGCACTTGGCAGCCCTGTGAGTAGTCCTTGCCAGTGGCCTGGTAGCCTGCGTCTCCCCCTAGCTGCTCTGAAGAGGTGGACAGGTTTGGAGTTCACATCAGGTCTCCCTCCAGTTGCAGGGTCAGCTGCTGCCTCTTAACAGTGAGGCTAGACCTCTGGCTTCCTGCTGAAGGAGCCACGTGGGTTAAAAGGGCTTAAAGGGCAAGGTGATGACAACTTGTGAGACAGTGCAGCCCTGGAGAACCTGGTGGCCCTTTGAGTTCTGAGGTCCAGGAGCTCGTTCTCCTCTTGGGCCTTGGTGTGGGCTGTGCCTTCCCCATCACCCTGACCTACCTGCCAGGACTCAAGTCCAAAAGGGAGCAGTGGCTGGGCACCCCCTCGCCTGCTGTTTGTTTGCCATCTGCCTGCCTCTGGCTACTCTGCCCTCCCCTAGCCCTCCCCTCACCCCACCCCGCCAGGTGCAAGTCCCAGACCCCAAGATCTCAGCCTGGCCCTGGGCTCCTCAACTGGGAATGGCCCCTCAGTGGATTTACCCTTTACTCCTGGACCTGCAGAATGGGTGCAGGGGCCAGATAAGGCTTTTGCAGCAGAAGAGCCTGGCTGTAACCTGGCCTTTTCCTCACTTGCTCAGTGACCTCCAGGAAACCATTCCACCTCTGAGCCTCTGTTTACCCTGGGATGCTGTGTGGTGGGTGTTGCCGCCACTCTTTTAAGGCTGGTGCCCTGGTTTGGTCTCAGTGTCCCCAGCAGGGTCAGCTCCGGCCAAGCTGGGCAGCCGTTGTGCCTGGGGAGAGTGCCCATGTGTTGGCAGCCTCGTGTCTTGGTCATTGATGGGATAAGTGTGGAGTCTAGCCAGGTTCTTCTGGGAGCTCAGTCAGGACAGCACAACAGGAGGAGGTGACGGGAGGCAGGGAACCCTGAGCAGCTGCCTCTTGTGGCAGGGCAGAGCCAGCCAGCCAGTCTGGGTGCTCACATCGGAGCCTGCTCTATATGAATGGGAGTGGGGGTGGGGAAGGTCGCTTGCCTGCTGCACGTGGTCTCACATACTTCAAGTCATTCATTCAGCAAGTATTTACTAAGGTGCTGCTACATGCCATGCACCAATTTAGATACTGGAGATACAACAGAGAAGAGATCCTGCGCCTCAAAGACCTCTGAATGGTGACCATTCAGCCTGAAATGTGTCATGATGGGAACAGGGCACTCAGTGTAGAAAGGGCTTTTGACCCAGGTCGAGGGGAGGTCAAGGAAGGCTTTCTGGGGGAGAAATTATGAGGTTGAGAAGGGGTCTCTAACAAACAGAGGCACGGAACAGCTTGTACCAGAGGGGTGCAAGATCAGCCCTGCTGGGACAGTGCTGTGGGGAAGAGGGCATGGGGCGGGATGGGTGCCAAGACCTCATTTCACTGGCTGCTCTGGTGAGCTGTGCTGTGGAGGTGGCATTCCTCCTGGGTTAGTGAGGGCCCCCATGGATTCTGAGTGGGGAAGAGGCTACTTAAAAGGAACTCTGGCTGCTGTGTCAGACTGGAGGAGGAAGTCAAAGGCCAGGGAGAGGGAAGGAGGCTGGAGCTGTGGGGTGCAGTGGGAAAAGACAGGAGGATAGATTAGAGAGCCGTTTAGATAGTGAGGTCAGCAGGATTGCATGTGGCTGGTTGATGAGGAGAGAGGGAGAGTCGAGAGCCAGGGTTCTCAGTGCAGTAGCAGCCTTGGAAAGGTGGGGGTGGAGATCTGCCCGGATGTTTGCCTTGGGGGCGCCTGTGGGGCAGCTGGATATGTGGGGCTGGGACTCAGGAAAGTCACATGGGTTGGAGGTAGAGATTTGGGAGCTCTACCCATCAAGACAGTGCTTGAAGCATGGGAGCAGAGAGAAAAGAGAACAAGCCCCAGGCCAACCTTGAGGCCTCCAGCCCTGGTAGGGTAAGCAAAGCAAGAAGGGCTGGGAACAAGCAGCCGGAGAGGCAGGAGGAGAACCAGGAGAGCGTGGTTTTCTGAGAGGAGCCAGGGTCACACTGCTGAGATGTCAAGGGAAATGAGACCAGAAGAATGTCCACTGGATGAAATGCCAGGGGGTCCTCAGTGGTGGGGCAGAGGAGCTAGTGAGAGGGAAGTAGACAGCTTCCCAGAACGTTGACTCCTGAGAGAAGAGAGAAGCTGAGGAGTGACTGAGAGTATGGAGAAGGCATGGAAGTCTGAGGACCCCAAGAGCTTCTGTTGATGTGGGATATAGCAATTGACAACATTTAGTGTATTAGGGATTGAGAAGTGTAAAACATTTTATCAAATAAGAAAAAATGCGTTAACATATTTTAAGGAAAAATGATTCTACTTTTTTAATGGAAGCAGCTGAATTCTCATCCAAATTCACGTATAGCTCTTGAAAACTCTTCTGTACCCTTGTGAGAAAATGAGAGTGAAAAGGCAAGTAACCTCTTAGTAGTGTTATGAAAATCGTTTTGACCTCACAGACCTCCAGAGAGGGTTTTGAGAACTCCCAGGAGTCCCTGGGCCATTTTTATTTATCTTTTTATTTTCTTTTTTAGTTGAAGGGATTTAAGCAGGATGGGTGCCCAACCTGGCATTCAGGGATTCAGGAGTTAGCAGGGATCTCGGAAATCATGGCTCAGTGGTAAAGAATATGCCTGCAGTGCAGGAGACATACGAGACATTGGTTCCATCCCTGGGATGGGAAGATCCCCTGGCAAAGGAAATGGCAACCTGCTCCAGTATTCTTGCCTGGAAAATTCCATGGACAGAGGAGCCTGGCAGGCTACAGATCGCAAAGAGTCCCAGAGGGTCTCAAAGAGTCCGACATGACTGAACGACTGAATGCACACACAGAAATCATTTTGTCCATCATCCCTCAAGGGCATCCTTCTGGAGAACGGGATGAGTAGGAAGGATCAGTCAGTTCACCTGCAGTTTATTGTGTCTACAGCAGGCTGAGGGGCCCTGGACCTCCAGCTGTGGGAGACAGACTAGCAGAGTCTCCCTCACACCTAGCCTGGGGCAACTCCAAGCTCAGGGAATGGGGCAGAGGCACCGGGTCAGGGAGGGCCTTAAGGAAGCTGCTGGAATCCACGGACAGGAGGCACACTCCAGGTTTGTGGGGATGGTGTCAGCAAATGAGGGAGGGACAGCAAGGAAGAAGCCTGCGGGTGTTGGGGACAAGGTGGCAAGCTACCTTTGAGTCAGTCCTTGGAGGAAGTGTTAGACTTTATCTTGCAGGGAAGTAGAGTTCTGTGATGTTTTTGTTTTTCCTCCCACAGAAGGGTCTTTGTTTTTGTTCTTTTTGTTTTGTCTGCTTGTCAAGCAGACAAGCGTTGTGTTCAGGTCTGGGCTTAAGGAGGTTTGTGCTTGTGGCAGGGGAAGGCCGCGAGGCGGGCAGGGGCTGGGGAGGGCCAAACTAAAACCAGGAGCAGGAAATATGGGGACAGCTCCTGGCAGCCAGTTGAAAACGGGGGGTAAGCAGGAGGGAGGAGACTGGGGATCCCAGGGGTTTGCTGGGCAATACAAGGGCACGTGAGGAAACACGACTCCAGGCTGCAAGCACCTTTCTGGGGCTGACGGCTCTGAGGGTTCTCCAGGTGGCCCCGCACTGGGTCCCCGGAGGGAGACTGTTCCTCTTAGGGCTGTCATTCCTCTGAAGACAGTGATGGCAGAGACTCAAAATGAGCCTTGAATGGGGGACACCTTGTCTTTCCCTGGGCCCAGGTCCGAGGAGGGTCAGGGTGCTCTGGGGCCAGGTTGCGAGGTGACAAGGAGAGTGTCACTCTGGGCCTGGGTGGGAGCACGAACACCAGCCTCCTGCCCCACCTCTGGGATGACCACACATCCCAGAGTGCCCAGTAGATAGTCGACAGGCCTAGTTTGCTCCTGTTGTTCTGAGGTAGTTATTACTTTCACTCTCAGGAACATCCAGGTTTGCGTAGTTTAAATTGCATGGTGGCTGTGGGATCTGGGACCCAGCAGTTTTTTGCTGTTGTTGTGAGGTTTTTATTTGTTTTGTTTAGTTCTGACTTTTAGCCATGCAGGATCTTAATTCCCCACCAGGGC